TACCTTCACTTATGCCAAGATTTTTCAATTCTTCTGCTTCTCTCTCTCTCTGTGCCCTGCTCTTGAGAGCCTTTTTTGGCCTAATCTGAATGTCATGCTCTGGTTTTACACTTCCCAAAATGTGGGAGGCTCGTTGGGCAGTCTCCCGGAGTTGCTGATATCACTTTGAAATAACAAAAGCATTCTCTTCATTCAGCTCAATCCCTTTGCAATCAATGGCATCCTGATGTTTGGAGTCTTCGTTTGCAAGAGGAACTGTATCATAAAGGAAGCCCATAGAGGACTAATATTTGACTTTTCAAAGAACACAGAGAAGGCCAAGCACAACCCCAAAGATTTCACCAAGGGCTTTTCTGTAAATGCTAATAGAGGCAATTCAGAGGCACCAACAAAGAGAACATAGGCGATACGCTGCAGGTGTGAGAAGCTTGAAACAAGAAGGATACTAACCCGTAATGGTATTTCATGTCATTAACTATTCTTTGATGTTCACACACTCAAGGCTCTCTTTTATCTGGTAGGGTGGGATTCTCTTTTGCTCCATGCCTCCCTTCAGCTCTCTTTGTTAACACACCGCAAAACTGCATCTTTACAATTCCTTCTAGCTTTAAAAAAAAAACCTCTGCAAAGTGCTTCTAAGTTAGTTTCTGCAGCATCTTTGGATACTACGATCAAGTAACCAAGAGAAAGCTTATTGATTAAACTGAAAAACAGGTCAATAAAAAACAAAACTTAACGTTACTTTTATAAGATTCCTGCAGCGGGACTTGATGATTAACTTAACTGGTAACAACAATTATCCTTGCAATTTTATTACAGCAGTTCTATGAACTCTGTATTTTCCTTTTCCTAATTAACAAACCCTTCAAATAAGCCCTCTTGTATTAAAGAACAGAGTCCATTAACAATATCTTCTTTTCAGAAAAGAGACCTTTTAAAACTAAAGATTAATGGCCAATAGATTCTAGGTAGCAAATCTGTATTCTTTTATTCCTTCAAATCTTGGCTGATCCTAAAGAAGCAAAGCAGGAATAGATCTGGTTAGTACTGGGATAGGAGACAGCAGAAAAGCCCAGGAGCATAGGCCAGGAAGAAAGAAAACAGCAATAGCAACCCTGGATAATGACAAGAATGAACCAGTTTCTTTGCACTTTTAAAGAAATAAATCCAGTGAAAGAGTTGAGTGAGCAGTTTTAAGAGAATGGAGAAGCCCTTTCTTGGCCACTGAAAGATATTTTGCTCTTTAAAAGAGAGCAGCTAATGAATCTGTGGGGATGCAGTGGCTCAAGGGGATGCGGTGGCTCAGTGGCTAAGATGCTGAGCTGGTCGATCAGAAAGGTCGGCAGTTCTGCGGTTCGAATGCCTAGCACTGCATAACCGAGTGACCTCCCGTTACTTGTCCCAGCTTCTGCCAACCTAGCAGTTTGGAAGTGCGTAAAAATGCAAGTAGGAAAATAGGAACCACCTTTGGTGGGAAGGTAACAGCGTTCCATGTGCCTTTGGCATTTAGTCATGTTGGCCACATGACCACAGAGACGGCTTCTGACAGTGCCTGGCTCTTTGGCTTAGAAACGGAGATGAGCACTGCCCCCTAGAGTCGGGAACCACTAGCACATATGTGTGAGGGGAATCTTTACCTTTACCTAATGAATCTGCTCAAAAATGCAGTCACATCTCAGTCAAATTATTCACATTTAGAAAGCAGAAAATCTCTCAGCATCTACTGGGCATTGTTGTGAATAAAACAGGAGGAGGAAGGAGTATTATGTCTGTTCATCACCTTGAGTCGAGGTGACACTTTGATCAAAGCTTCATCTGCTTTACATGTGTGTCACACAGACAGAAATCGCTGTAGACACCATCTTGGCTTTCCTGACCCCACTCTCTGAGTATTATTTGTAGCCCTTTCAGGACACCCCAAAACTACCCCCCCCAGGAAATAGCTTCACTGTGCCTAAGGGTGGGATAGGTGTCAGTCAGAGTGGGCAAAATTATGCTAAACAGACCTATACAGTAATTGCACTTTTCAAGGCAGATTGTGTCGCTTCACTAGCACTAATACGCTTTGTATTAGTATAAAGTTAGCTTTGGGTATAACTAATCACCTTTAACCCAAGAGCACCCCTCCTAATATTTTCAACTGAAAAGTGTGGTCGAAAGAATATCCTGACTAAACATTACTTAAATTATTTGGATGGTAAATTCAATATTGTTTTATAATAGCGTCAACCAATTTGTTTTATTTATCTCTGCATTTTTTACTGGTCAGGTTCCCCCTCCCGCCCGCCCCCCCCGAAACTATGTTTTTATTTTCAAAAGGAGTTTTGAACTAGGGAACTGGTGCTCCGACTCAGCACATGTCATTCCAAGCTGCAAGAATCTTAGCTACATTCTTGTAGGTTTTTTTTACTTGGTCATTAAAAGAAAGAGAAGAGGGAAACCAAAGAGCAGAACTGAATTGTCACCTAACATTGCTCTAAGTAAGGTCTGAAAAGGAGCATCAAAGATATCATGGTGGTGATTTGCACTATTCAATGGGAAGAACCCTCCAGATTGCAGGTTCCATTCTACAGAGGGAATTTCCTGCCTGGGAATTTCCATAAGAGATACTCTGCCAACCTTGGCACGTGTAGCAAGACTTTCTCTGATAACCTTAGCAATTTCACAAATTTGTCACAGTAAAGTTTCCTGATCCAAACTTGTTCAGGGCCTTATGCCAAATATAAAACGATTAGCTAATTGTAATAGAAGACAACATCTGTAGCACATGGTGAAACTTTGGAGTCCTTGCTGCTATCTGAAGTTGGTTGTTTGCTTGCAGGTATTTTATCCAACTATGAAGCATCATGAAATGTCTGCAAGCAAACAACCAACCCCAGAGAGCACCAAAGACTCCACATCTGCATGACCAATTGTTCTTCTCAGGAACCCACCACATTCTGCTCTCTATGCAGGCTTCAAATAAAACGTGAGAGTACCCCCACCTAGAGTGTATGCAGTAATCTAACCATGAAGTTCTCAGGACATTAACCATGGTAATTTGACTGCAGTTCAGCAAGTGACAAAGTTGACAACGGTGGTTGCTTGGACCTCTTGTGACAATAAGGACAGCAAAACAAACCTTGCACCCAATTCCTGAACCCAATTCCTGTACTCAATAATCACAATTTAAGAAGTGTCTTGTCCAGCTTCAATCTCAGTTGATTGGTTTTTACCCATCATGATATTCAGACACCAGTTCAGAATAGCTACAACACCCCCTCATTTGGGAATGGCTGTTCATACATCAAAGTTGTTATATACAGAAGAGCCAGTTTTGATAATACTTAGATTCCAAATGACTACTTCCTGTGCCTTCGTATTGACATTAACAGTATTGATTGTTTGTACAATTCTGAATTTCCCGTTTTTAACTGGTACTTTTTACAGAATATCAAAAATAATAAATACTGCAGAAAATCTGAAGCACAAGAAGTTTCCAAAAGCTGTATATTTTGTGGTCTAGTTAGTACATGCTGACTGGGAAATAAGTCAGTGGTGTTATTTCTGGGAAAACCTAGATGGGTTGAATTGATAAAACATGATGAGCAATGTGATCCTCAGAATCAAGTCCCATTAAATTCAATGGTGGTTACACTCTAGCAAGTATGTTTAGTATTCAGCAAGAAAGGAAGATCTTGTTCACAAAACACATAACTAAACTGTAGAGTAATGGAAATTAATTAAGGAGAGAAGCAACCTAGAACTAAGGAGAAATTTGCTGACAGTTAGAACAAATAATCAGTGGAACAACTTGCCTCCAGAAGTTGTGAATGCCCCAACACTGAAAGTTTTAAAGAGATTGAACAACATTTGTCTGAAATGGTATAGGGTTTCCTGTCTGAGCAGAGGGTTGGACTAGAAGCCTCAAAGATCCCTTCCAGCCCTGTTATTCTGTTATCCCAAGTTCGTGCAACCGGGCACACCCATGCTGAAGAGGATAACTCTGGTGATTAGACATACTGATCATCCAATCCTCAGAGGCAGCGTCAGGCACAAGAAATCAGGAAGCAAGGCAGTTCATATGAATACAGGTTATTGCATGCTATCAGGCAGTTTATTTATGAATGCCAGTTGCTGGGAAAATGTAGTGGGAAAGCATTGCCTCTCTCCTGTCCTTCCTGAGAACTTTTGAAGTGGTAGCTGATTGGTTGCTGTGCAAGCAAAATGCTGGACTAGATAGATGCTTGGCCTAATGCATCCAGTTTTTTTTATGAGAATAAGGGACAACAGAATTTGATTTTCTGTGGTCATAAGAAGTAGTTGTCCTTGCTTGGGTTTTAAGATTTTGCTGCTTCAATTCAAAACAACAACTAAAAGGTGCTTTCATCATATGTCATTAAGTCTTTTACTCCATAGGCTTTTGATATGCTTTTCCTTCTCTTCTGGGGAAAATAAGACCCCCCATGTCCTATCATTGAATTCTCTTTTGCAAGATAATGTAAACACCACACACAAACACAGAGAGAGAGAGGGGGGGGGGAGAGACTGCCAATATATTGCATTTTAAAGGGATGGTAACAGTCTCTTGGTTTGGTGCTTGCATTACAAATTAAGTCAAACTTTTCCAGGTTCCATGTCTGTGGTTGGGTGATTTGTGACATCAGTTTCCCTCTTTCCCTCTATTCCAAAGTGACCAATGGTTACTCAACCTTTTCTTTACCATGGACCCCCTTTAAATTCATTTTGTGGCCATGGACCACCAAGACTTAACACAAGATTTAAATTTTAACATTTCTTCAAGACTTTGTGGACTCTTTATGATGACATTGTGCCCCCCCCCCCCGGGGGATCTGCAGATCACTGTTTAAGAAGCACTGCAGTAGACTGATTGAATAGCATAGCCGATTCCACTATTTGGCAGATCTGCTCTTAGTATATACATATGTGCACATTATACAACACAATGTACACATCCATAAGTCAGCTAGAAAATGAGAAACACATCTTGGGTTCCTTACCAGCCTCACACTGATGAGTTAGGGAGCAAAAGTTCAGCTTTGAAAAGGAGTAAGGGGTTGAAATGTGTTGTCTTCTTCTGTGATAGAATCTACCACTGATAATGACTTGTAATACTCATCTTCCCAATCCAGAAATTTTATTTGACTAAGGAAAATTAAAACAGAATAAAGCATTATAAAGGGCACGTCATATCTCTAGGTATTTTTGTTTAATTGGTACAAGACATGATTGGGTCTGAGTGGAGGAGCAAACATTATTTTGAGGTGAATATCTAACAGAGGCTGGTGAAGAATCTAGCTTTCCTACAGGAACTGAGAGCATAGCATTTCTCACACCAGCAAATCTGCATCAATTCTGGGTGCTTACACAGCACAGTAGAAAGCTCTGGCTTTGATTTATAGCAATTTCAGATTTTAATTAGGTGATCTGTACTCTCAGCTAGGCATGAATCTTCACCACACCACTTGTTAGATGGGAGAATCTTGGGAAACCCCATTTTGATCTCTACTCCAATACACAATATAGATAGAGATAAGATACGTAACCTCTGATTATAGCAGTAAAGAGCATAAGAAACATAAATCACAAGAACAGCTCAGATACTTCTTATTTCATGAAAGATAAAGTTATCAATGGCTTCTATTATCTCTTGAAAGAGGATGCCTCTTTGACACCAGTTGCTGGGAAACACATGTGGAAGAGAGCTACTGTTCCCAAGTTTGGCTTATGGACTTCTTAAAATCTGCTGGTTGGTTTTATGATCTCAGCCACCAGATCTTTTCTGATATCCAGTTAGGTCTGTTTGTGATGTATTTATATATAACATCTTCAAGCACAATAAGACTTTATTGTAAGATTAAAGTTGTTCCTTTGGCATCCATGACAACTTCTAAACAATGACAGAAGACCTAATGTGCATACACGGATAACATAACATTTGCTTGTTTGGATAGTTTAAATTTGGTGGACAAGTTCTAGAGAACTATCAGTGGTGCATACATGGATCACATACATGGATTTATTCAACTATACACCACAGGACAAACTTAAAGCACAGTCTATATTTGATACGGCTAATCAGAACTCAAGCTAAATTATATTCAGGTGTTTAGCATGCTTCATTGCCTGGTATGATTCTGGTATTGCCATAAATAATGCAGAGGATATTGCATCATGATTTTCCCTATAAAAAGAGTGTGGGGGGAAGTCTCTTTATAGTGTGGTCTTTCCCAAGCCTTCAGGTCTTCTGGGCTACACTGTTCATTATTTCCAGCCAGCATGTTCAAAGATGTAGCTCAACATACTTAGCAACATAATGCTTGTCACCATAATAATAAAATGAATGCCATATAAAAAAGCAGCCTTTGCAACAAGAGCCTGGAAAGAATAGCCAAGAACTGCTCTTTGTGGAAACATATGACCTTCCTTCTTATCTTTCCCCCTCCAGCCAGTTTATGCTGTGGATCAGGAGGATTTCTGAATTGCTGTCCCTCCTGTCGTGTCTGGGTTCACAGTCTGCAGGTCTTTACTTTGACAAGATCCACCACTGGCTACTTTTAGCAAATTCATTGTGAAACGAACTGCCTGAATTTTGCTGAGAAGCGTATTCCCCCCCCCCAAGAAAGACCGCTTCCCCCCTGTGTATACAGCTCACATTAGACACACACTTTCCTTTTGCATCAGTACCAAAATGCCCACAGCTGCTATAAAGAGAAAAGGCTTGCTGTTGATTTTCAGAAATTGCTCTAGAAAGTTTGCGCCTTCCCTGTAATCTCACAAAGGATTTCTTCTGTTTACTGTTACTTAGAACTAAGAAGATGGATATTTACCCAAGTTTTCTTGGCTTCCTTTTGCTCCCTTGATATCCTAGAGTTCCCTGTGGAGAGGGCCAAGAACACACAGTCAAAGCAAAGCAGCAAGTCGTTAATTTTTAATTCAAAGTGATTTTGTGTTGAATGCAAGCAGATGCTGATAATATCAGAAGTCACAGCATAATTTTTTTGATCAAAGGGCTCAAGCGAGCCTGATGAAGCATGCATCTTGCTCGTCTTTGATAAACCACATCAATTATTCACCGTGAAGGCAGACATCCTGACATGAAAGCAACAGATAAAGAGCATAAGCACATGTTCAAGACGAGAGCTGAAGAACTCTGGGGTGGGGAGAGGGCACTGGGGGTGGGTGGGTGGGGCTGGTAGGCTTAGAACAGGTATTAATACCAGAATTATTAATGGGAAACAAAGACAGTAAAACAGCTGTACGGCCACTTTGAACTTACATTTAACTGGTTATAATATATGTTGTCCTCAGGGCTATTCAGCACTTTGGGCTGCTGACATCTTCGACGGGCTGGTTTCTGCTTCTGTTCTAAGCAGTTTTCTGAAGGTAAAAAGAGATAGTGCAGTTTTTAGGTCTTGGCAGGGCCAGGTACTGCAAGCAACTTTTTATTGGGGAGTCAAACATAATTCTTTCTTCTGTTATACACAGTTCTGAATTTACTAACTTTGGTCATTTCCCCATATCAGTAGAAATGTAAGGATACTGGATACATTGGAAATGTTTTTTTTTTTT